ATGCGGTGGATGGTTGGATTGATGGATGAATGATGGATGGGTGGATGATTTGTTACATAAAAATCCCAAACTTTTATTCAGTGTAATTAAAACCATGCTTTGCTTTCCTTCCATTTTACAGCCATGCCCCACTCTGTCTCAGTCTATTGCATGAATACACCAATAAAACACGTTTAAGTTTGTGGTTGTAGCATGGCTTGATGTAAAAAACCCACATCAGACTGTCCCTCCCTTCACGAAACTCCTAATAGTCTAATTATAAGACTGTGTTTTGCCAACATTGTCCGCATGGCAAGAGATTATGAGCGTACTGAGTGTTTTTACAAGAGTCTGAGTGGGACAATATGAAAGCAGCTGGTGGGAGATTAGATTTGCTGGGAAAGCTGCCGTCCTGCTGGTCAGCTGAATGTATAGGGAGGCAGAGGGGAGCTGGGAATGTTCAGCAGGCTCCGTGGCCAACAGCGCATACCTGGATTTCGCAGGCGTACTGGGCATTATAGATGTAGTGAAAGGCCTCTTCGATGGTCTCCCCCAGAGCGACTACGCCGTGATTTCTCAGCACCAAAATCTACAGCAGACACAGAAACCAATAAGAACAAACAGTTGGATTTGTTTGTGTAGCATGGTTTAGTTAAGACAAATGATGAATGAACTCAAACACAGAGGATACTCCCACAGGATGCAACACTGCTTCCTATTTCAAACGCACTCCACCCTGATAACTGCCTCTTTATTTTCTTAACTTCAAGCCCCAGATATAGAACTTCCTTTACTGCAGATATTTTTAAAACCACTTGAGATTCTGCACACGCTTTGACCAAATAATCAAATGGATGAGGACTACCCAACCTTTGCTGTTGGACCAAGGGCTTTCTGCAGCTCTCTGCGCTCCTCCTGGTCATCCAGGCAGCCCTGATAGTTGTAATAAGCAATATCTCCCAAGATCAATGCCTCCTGGGAAATAGGTAAAATGCCACACTTCATAGAGGACACCTGAATTGGAGGAGAAAAGTGGACACAGAAGATTAGGAGCTGAATTGTTCTAGAGCCCCTCTATCAGTGCACTTTCAGTCAGGTCTTTATGTTTGTGCTAAAACAGGAGCAGAAGAGTCCAACAGGTGGCAGCTTTAAGGACACACAAAGAAAGATGAAATGTTCACTTACAGCCGCCGTGGCGGGAGTGTGCACGTGTACGATGCAGCGGATGTCCGGTCGCATGGAGTAGATGGCAGCATGCGGGCTGAAACCGGCCGAATCGATCCGCAGGTTTGTGGAGCCTTGCTCGATCACATCCCCGATGATGTTCACCTTCACCTGAGAGAATGAGGACGACAAAAAGGTCAGCGGTCCTGAGAACCAGATCCAATCCCCATGTGGGGATATTTTAGATGGAATTACGCATTAAACTCGACTTCCAAGGCTCTGTTGTTTTTCTACTCTCAGTTGCACCAATAGAGAGACAGCTAATGAGCTTTTAGAGGGAAATATGAATAAATCAGGGCATATTAAAATGTAAAAGTTTGTAAAACTGTCAACAAACTATGCAGATCTTAGAATGATGCTGCAGAAAAAGACTATAGTGAATGCTGCAGCTCCCTGTCTATCATGTGACTTGCTCTAAAGTTGGGGGATGTCCTGAAGGAAGCACAATATCACAGCATTTTAGGACAAAATGCATTACAGTGAAGCAGTTTAAAAAGTAACAAAAAATGAGGGTTAAATGCTAGCATTTACCAAGCATTGAGGTTGTTAATATTTTCAGCCTAAACCGATTTTAGCTGTAGAAAACACATCACATAGGGACGAATAATGATTTCAAATTATTCGTATTTCTATTATTGGTTCAAGAATAAAAAAGAGCTTTTAGAGAGAGAAACGCTTTTTTTTTTTTTTCCATATTTATTGAAAAAATACAAAACATAGAGAAACTACTTGCAGAAAAAAACCAAAAAAAAAAAAAAAAACGTATGAATCATGAGCATCACTCTTTTACAGAATATCTAAGCAGATATCAGCCAGACTCGCCCAGAAGCACTGATATAACCACCTTTATTATTATTACCATTTCTCATTTTTGTTCATGTGTTCTGAGTCACAGCTAAAGGGATATACTGAAATATATGATTAAACAAAATAAAAAAAAAGTATTTTTTTATATCAAAATTTCACAGGAAAGGTCTCTTGCTGCAAAATAAATAAATAATAAAACCTTTGAGCATGATAAACATCACATAGTGGGATAAACTGGACAAAATTCTAGCAATGCAGACCATCAAGTATCAGACTGTCAAAATCAGAGCAATGGATGTACACACTGGGCTATCTCTAGTAGTATGGTTTCTATTTATCCAAATATATTCACTGCAATCCTATGAATCTGTTAAAGGAGATAGAATGTAGGCAATATAAACATCCTGCTACATCTCCTGAGGGAAAAGCAGAGGGTCTAAAGGAATAAGTGTAGGGGAAGCGTTTTAAAATCAAAACATGCCCACATAACGGATACAAAACCGGATCCATCCCCTTAACGAGGGGATCAATCTAACTGCCCGGCATAAATCAAAATTAAAAAGCATAACGAGAGAAATTACATTATCTGCCCCTCTAGAGGAAAGGAGTCGGAAAAGTGCCGCGTAAACTAATATAGTCAGGGAGTGGACATGGTGTCCTTTGCATGAACAACTTTATTACCAGTCAATTAGGAGTTATTAGATTACCTGACAGAGGAGATTTAAAGGGAAAGGTAGAGCTGGGAGGCCTGGGGGAAGTGAGTCAGCATGAAGACAAACCGAGAAGCAAACAGCTGAACCTGAAGCAGGAGCAATAACAGACCTGATTCTAGCTGTCACCGTAAAAAACAGGCTAAAAAAACCTGAAGCTCTGCTTTGCCTGCAGGCGTTTACATAGAAGTAACCACGTTTCTATGATATAATCCAGAACCGCAGCCGGTTTTCTATTTCACCAAGTCCTGCAGCACAGGAGAAGCCATTTATCATGTAGGCAGTTGTGAACACATTCACAAACATAGTCAGGGTGGTGCAGCAAAGAGGATGTGTTGGATATAATAGTGCAGAATCTGTGGTTGAAGGAGCACGGCCCTGAGCCAAAAAGCAACATGTGTCATATTCTCTGATTTCTGCAAAGAAAAACTCTATAAAGTGCTTTAAACTAGATAAAGTACTAAGTACAAAAGAAAACAACCGAACCTCCTTGTCAGAGAAACGTTGTTCTGTAATTTTTCCAGATTATCGGTTTGCTATTTTCTCTATTTCTCTCCTGCATTTATTTACCAATGTTAGTGCCTTTCATATAAATTACTCCATGTCAGTAAACATTTACAGTAAACAGCTTTATGACCTCATGAAGTTACAGTTTGTTCCAGCAGGACCCCCGTCCTAAACAATATGACGCCAAACCCAAACTTGTCTTCAAGCCCCTAGGGAGCATAGATTAGGAAAACCAAAGCAATATATAAGATGATTATTGTTAAGGTTAATGAACCAGTGTTGTCAGAATAAGCCTCAAACCGTAATCATCACAAAATAAATGTGAATAAACGTCATCATGTCCTTTGAAGTGGATATTTTATTTGATTAAGACTATAGTAAATGTTTCTGAAATGATTAATCGCTGATTCCTGACCAGCTAAAAACCATCAACACAATAATTTCTGTGTAAATGCAAACTTTTGCCTTTATTATTCTCTCATAATAACTTAGATCCTAAATAAGACATGAGTACTTTCACCTGGAGATGATGTTCTCTGTTGCTTTGGGTCTTTCCTATGATTCTTAATCAGCCAAATTTAAAAGAAAACCCAACTGACATATTTTCAATATGAAATATGTAATGGTTTTTGAACAAAATTTCCTAATATTTCCCATGGTAGCATCAGCAGCGACAACTTGCTTCAGAAAGAGCAACACTCACACCTAAAGTAAGACTTTTACTTTTCAGTTTATTTAAAGCCATTTTCTGGTGTTGACATCTTTTTAACTGCAGATATGTATCCTTAGGAGTCTTCCTTTTTCTCATCAGATGTTCCCCTTCACTGTTAATCAGTGTTTAAGTCAATATCTAAGTTTCTAAATGGCGTTAAAATCCATACAGACCAGAAGGTCCACCACTCAGAGTGGTCCAGGGGGCCGACCAGGCTTGACCTTATCGCCTCTGTGTGGATGTTTCATCAGATGGCCTTCTATTGATCTTCCACCCACCCAGACGGGGGAGAAAGGTACCAGTCAAGCATGAATAACATCATATTCACCCCCCCACAGACACAGACAGCTGGCAGCCAGTTGCTCATTGACTTGGTTATGTCACGCGTCTGTCTGTCATGTCTTTCTAACACCATGTTGTTGGACATAAACAGGAAGAAAGGCTAAAAAACATGACAACGGACATTTTTAGAAAGAACCTGAACCAGCTGGGAGTTAAAGAGGACGATAAAACCCTGTGTTCAGGCTAGACTTCATCATGGGTTTTAAACACTCAACAACTCAACTTACAGAAGGGTAGAGAATGGGTTAAAAATATAAAAACCTCAATTATACATGGCTGAAAACATCCACATTAATATTTTAAATAAAAATGTATAAAATGGACTGCATGGTGGAAGGTCCTCGGTTTGAATCCCCAGCTGGGGTCCTTGGTTTGGAGTTAGTAAGTCTCCAGAATCGTTTATGGGTTCTCTCCAGATACTCCGGCTTCCACAAACAAACCAAAAACCTGCCTGGAAGGTTAATTAGTTTTTCTCTTTGCAGGTAAAGTGTGTTTAATGGCAATGGTGGCTTTTTAACATGCTAGAGATTTTGTTTATAGTTTCCCAAAGAGCTGCTTTCACCTACAGTGCCTAAAGAGGAACAAAAAGGGTCATGGGTGGTGCTGCTTTCATTTTCACATCATGTTTTTTTTTTAACCGAGGGACATTTTCACTAAGAATCCCATTGTTTTTATAAGAAAGGCAAAAGTGCTGGATAATTTTTATCAGCCAGCTGACAGGCAGTGTGTGGCAGCAACTGTTTTAATGCAGCTGGAGAAGTTCGTTTTATAAAGATAAAATGTGTGATTCTGGCTCGCTAACGCACGTCAGTACCCAGTGTTTAAAATATAAAAAACATGGGACAGAACATTCTTTTAAAATTCTAAATAATCCAGCCAAGGTCAGGGTTTCTGACTGGATTCCCACCTATTTTCTCTCTGTCTGAAAGCTGTGCTGATCTGGGCAGAGGCGGATCCCGCCCTTCTCTCTGACACCCATCTGACCCTGATGCAAGCTCCACAGTCTTTATTCCGGATCACTTCCTCTTAATCAGCCTGCATGCTTCTCCTACTCAACCATAGAGCTAGAGACCTCAATGCATCAAAACAGTGAAAGAGGGAGGAGATTAGAGGAAAAAAATGAAGACAATAATACAAAGGCAGCAATACAGAGTTGAAATGAGAAATCTGATAGAGCTACACCTCATTATTTAACCCCAACTTCCTTAATCAGTCGCCTTCAGACTCACACACGTTACTGCAAATCTGAAGTTAATACGAATGTGGCTTTTATGCTCAAACATTTTAAAATGACAACTTTCATATTTACTTCTAGTTCTGCACAATATAAGCAGATTACTCATACTAGATGAAGCTCCTAAAAATGGCAATGATGCTACGGATCCAATAAACTCAACTTTTCCTTCAACTTCTGTCTTTATCGCTATGGGAACCCCCCAGAGCTTTTCTACGCAGCAATTTTATATCAGATGTGAGCATTTTAAGTCCATCCAATGGGTCAGATGTGTTGTCAGAGTGCAGATCCTACATTCATGACTCTGAAATATAGTAACCTACAGTAATGATTGCATGCAAGTAGTACTTTGCAACTGTAATATCCTGCAGACTTATGCTGAGAAGATCTCTGTGACACGACATGTAAGGCAGGGAAATTTGCTTCACATTTTAAAGCAAAGAAAAAGAAAATGGTACATAAAGAGAAAGGATGGAAGGAAAGAAGCAAGGGAAACTAAAAGGAAAGAAAAAAAACAAAGGAAGGACACAAGGAAAGGAAGGGAGGGAACATGTAAGGAAGAAATGAGGTAAGAAAGAAGGAAAACACAGGAAGAAGATTCGGAACAAGATATAGAAAAATAATTCTGAAATAAAGTCTAGAAATACAAATGTTTTTTCCATACTTCCATCCTTTTCCTAATCAAAACAAAATACTGAAATAAAATTCTCAACTTTCCATGATTATGCCGGCTGTATAAAACTGCATTTTACCAGAAAAAAAGAAAAACGAAAAGCTAAAGTTCTGTTTTCTCAGCCAATAAAAAGGTTTTGTGTTCAGCGCCTGCAGTAGAAACTACAACAAAGATTGTAATCATTGTTTGCCAACCTGTCCTGCAGGTCAGACAGAGAAGATAAATATAGAGGGTGAGGGCAGCGACACATAGGCCTTTGTTAGCAAGCAAAAGATAATCCTTCTTTTCGGAGTGTAGTGAAAAAAGCTCTAATAAAGGACTGAATACACCCATGAAGCTTTTCAGTTAATAAAAAAATACGGAGAAATAATTAAAGCAGATCATTTTACACTTGACTACTTTTCACTCAGATGTTTGAGATAAAAACACGGACATGCTGCATTCATTGAACCAAAACTAAAGTTAAACTACCCTCTTCCTGTTTGTAGTACCTGCTGACAGACATAAAAAAACAAGCTACTGCTCCACTAATGTCAACAGATAGTGAAACCCATAATAAAAGATTAATATCAGGTTTAATGGACCTTTTTCAGTCTGCAGAATCAAATAAAAGAAATAAAAGCATAAAGTGTCAGGTAGCCTGAATGTGCCGATGTTTCTTACCAGGTTGGATGCAGAAGCTTCAGCGAATGACAGACCTCTGGGGATGATGAGAATGTGGTCTTGTTCTTTACTCACTCGGCCCTAAGTGGAAATGAGAAGGTCATTTTTTTTTTTTTTTTTTTATATCATTCCTTAAGTAAAAAACCCCCAATGTCCTCCTAAAAATCATCATCTATAATACTGAGCCATCTATAGGACAGTCATGAGGAGTTTTAAATCACTGGTAGCTAAGGGCTGTATGTGAGCTGTGATTTTTTTAATTAGCAAATTATCTTCATTTAAATTTTTATATATATATATATATATATTTGTATTTTAGTGTAATTAAACTTAAAGGTATAGATGACAACATTTTATTTCCGGGTGGATCATCTAAATAAGTGGTCCTCCTAATTGTCAATCATTCTGGTGATATGTTTACGTAAGGCCATCCTATGTGCTCATTCTGTTATCTATGGAAGCAAATCGTTACCATATTTAAAATGAAAAAGCATTTTCAGAAATGCTTTTTCATTTTAAGAATGTGGCTGCATTGTTTGACTAGTAAATGCAATTAGTAATCAATAATCCTGTTTGCATTTTCATTTTCTTCTTTAACACTGCTCATCCTTTTACTTAATTAAAATGAAAAAGAAAAAGACAGTTGAGATTTATTTTTCAAAATGTACCCAAGCAAATACATACCAAAATTCAATTTGAAATGTAAATCTTAAAATGAAAAAGCATTTCCAGAAATGCCTTTTCATTTTAAGAATGTGGCTGCATTGTTTGACTCATAAATTAAATTAGTAACCAATCATCGTAATCAATCCTGTTTGCATTTGCATTTTTTTATTAAAACTGCACATTTTATGCCATAATCAAAGAGAAAACACAGCGGACATTGCTTTTTCGTTTTCGTGGCCTGCCTATAATGTACTGTCCATAACACAAAAACGAAAAAACATTCTGAGAGGCGTCGGCAGCAGAGTATCGTCAACAGCTGCTCTTCCTCAGGTCCTTGCTGACTGGGTTACCCATGTTGTTCGGTAGGGAGCGCTGTGCGTTTGCATTGCAATACATTGTAAGCCTGCCGGCGGGAAACTGGTTGAATTGCCGGATCTGACTATCGGGACATACTGAACGACCCCAATGACCAAAAGCACCAAAGGCAGTAGCCTCCCTCAGTAGCTCTGCCACTGTCTTATCTACGCAGGCAAACTTTCAGGCGTAAATCTGTAGTGAGCTATGGTTTCAGACAGTCATTGAAGGATTAGGGCCACTGAAAAAAAAAAAAGGTAATTTATTAGAATTTATTTTCAGCACATTTGTTCAGCTGGGGGGTGGAGGTGGTTATGTAAAGAAATAATTGTTGTTGGTATTTAATATTGGCTTATGTATAAATTGGATCAAATAAATGCAACTGGACATTTGTTTATGTTTCTATTGTATAATGTTTTTCAACCAGATTTTTTTGTGTTGATTGAAACTTTATAGAAACTTCAAATAAACAATAAGAGAAATTCTCTCTCCTCTGAGTACATAAATGATGAAACTGAGGCCTATATCTAGCAGAAATCAGCCACCAGTCTTGACGAATAAGGGCGCACATCAATTTTGTCAGATGGCACAGACAGCAGGAAGACTAAATCGCCCTCTTGGAGACCTGCACCATAGCTCTGCATGTCCAGGTCACCCAATGTTAATAACAATCAAAAACCCTGTACTAATCCCTGAATTACGGCGGTCCACCCACTTCCACAGCCACAGGTGTGCAGCACCAAGGTATGCAGACTGCTTCTACCAGCAGTTAAAATGCTTCTAATGTGTGCAGATTATGAACAAAGGGAGAATTTTACAGCAATGTGGTGAAAATATTCACCAACAGCCTAATTACATGAAAAAACATGGTTTGCATTTTCACAAGCTCATTTATGCAATAAATTCAGTAATTACTCAGTCGCTTCTGCAACCACTGAATGTGTTCAACACATCTGTTCTCCTCACAGCCAGATGTGACTTTGTTCTATGGTTGTGTAAAACAACAACTCCAATTTGTCAATGGTTGACTCAAAACAACTTCACTGAGCTAAAGTACGAGTCATCTTTGCCTGGTAGGGCAGAAACGCCTCACCAAAAGCCTCAGGTATCACTGCGTGCTTTACCATCTCTGCCTTTACGGCCATCATGTTGTTGAGGGTAATTCATCTCACAGCTCGCGTCATGTCAGTAAGAGGACCACGACTAATCAGAGCGACGTCAGAGGATACTAACTAGTGTTGGGTGCGGAGGTCATCAAATTTCTGGAGAGATACAGTAGTGCAGAAGCATTGGAGATCTTTCTGCAAGGAAACACATCAGGTTGGCAGCATGTTTGCAGGATCCTCTTAGTTCAGGGGAAGGGAAGTCCTAATGCTGTAGCATACCGACGTGTTTGATAATCCAAACTTTGCTTGGCTCATTGCTATTTCATGACTGTTATACAGTATGCATTATAAGGTCAATAAACTTGTGGATGATAAGGTTTGGTGTGTAGGAACCTGACTGGCCTGTACAGGGTCCTCAGTTTAACACCTTAAAACAGAGGAAGCTTCAGGCCACACCCTCCCATCCAACACCAGTGTGTGAACTCACAAATAAGAAAACGGTCAGAAACTTATTTCCTAAGGCCCCGTCCACACGAAGTCAAAACGAACACGAAACGCTACTATTTTCCAGAACGTTTGTCGTAAAGACGGAGACGTAAAATAAATGTGATCGTCCACACGAATGCATGAAAAC